TGTTGCCCCAAAAAGGGGCCATTCAAGGTTCTAGAATGAGGGGCTCAAAACCAGTTTTTTTTTTTCTTCGGCTCCGCTGGGCCTGCCAGGCTTCCACCTGGTCCAGCCGGGCCTGGAAGCCCTTGCACACCCCCCACAGCACGCTGGTGAGGTGAGAGTATCGAGAGTAACCATCTCCGTGCCGTCGCTCCACCGGGCGGTGCGCGTCAGGTTCTTCCCTTCCGGGCGCTTGTACTGCTTGGCCTCCACGGCGTGAAGCTCGTGTTGCAGACCACGTTGCGTTGCCCGTGATTACGAGGCAGGGTTCCTCTGGTTCGTGGTCAATGACAGGCTCTTCGTCTGCACCAGTCGTTGATCATGATGAGCTCGCACTGGTGCGCCCCGCCGTCCCGTCCAGGAAGACGCTCTGGTTGCCAGCAGCCGCGCTCCGGGCCGCTGTCGGGGGCCCTGTTGTTGGACACTTGAGCTTGCTCCAGCCCGCCCAGTTCTTCATAGATCGTCGAGAAGTCGGAGGTGTTGGTCACGGTGAGCGTGTTGGAGGCGAAGAGCTGCGGCGCGGACCCGAGCTCGTCACGTCGCTGCCCGTCGACACTCCGGCGCCTGTGAGCGCCCTGGTGGCTGCGAAGCTCGCCGCCGTCGCTGAGGCCGTCAGTGTGCCCGTGGACATGTCGCCCACCGTGGTGAAGTTCCCGGCGTTGGCCGTGTTGTTGATGGTGAGTGCCGCCGTGGAACCTCGGCCGGGCCACCAAGCGCGCCGCGCGGGAGCTGACGGCTTTGTGGTCACGACACCTGGCAACGAGTTTGCCACGCTGGACAGGGAGCTGCCCGAAGCCGTGCGCCGCACGGCCCGAGGACCGCAACGCAACGCCATTGCCGTGGTGGACCGGGGCATCCAGACGCTGAAGAAGAAAGGCCTGGCCCTTGTGGCTTCGAGCGGGCGGCCAGGGCCACAACGCGCGGCCCCACGAGACGGTGCACGGCGCGCCCGAGGACAGAAGCAGCCGGCCACAGAGTTCAGGGTCCTCCAAGACAACGCCGACCTCACGGACCGGCGTGGGCGGTGGACGCGGGCGCCTTCCGAGCGCCGACGAACGCGGCGAGAAGCTTCAACCCTCAGCACGGCGACGTGCAGCAGCTGGGGGCCGTGGACTCCATGACCGTCCCGCAGCACGGAGGGCCGGGAGACCCTGCTGAAGCTGGCGCTGCCGGCGCAGGGCAGCCCGGCGGCTGTGAGGCAGCTGGACGACTTCCTGGCGCCTCCGAGGCCCAGGACCTCGACTAGCTTTTTTTTTAAAAAAAATCCCGGCATGTGGCAAAGGGGTTGGGGATTTTGAAAAATTCCCGGAATTTTCGAAAATCCCCGGGCATGTGGCAAAGGGGTCGGGGATTTTGAAAAATTCCCGGAATTTTCGAAAATCCCCGGGCATGTGGCAAAAGTGTCGGGGATTTCGGCAAAAACTGGTTTTTTGGGGCACGAACCCGGCCTCCCTGCGTCCAGGGAACCTCGGTCGGACCCGTTTTGGCGCAAAAAAAAACTTTGATCACACTCAAGTTGGAATTGCCTGATCCTGATCGAGCGAAAAAACTAGAAAAAAGGGTTTCGAGACATTGCGCGGGCCCGTCGGAATTCCCGGGGCTCAGCTCCTTGGGTTTGGGGTCCTCGGGAAACCAACGGGTTGGGCGAACCAATCAAATGAGCGGGGGCTGGCATGGGCAACCCGTGCAAAACCGTGCAAAACGAGCTATTCTTACAGGCCCTACATAAATGTAGGCCCTAGAAGAATAGCATTTTGTGGCGCAAAACCGCACAAATGTCCCTGGGTTTGGCTCTCCCCCCCAGCTCCATGCTATATGTGCTATATGTGCTATATGGACGCCAGCCCGCTGAACCTCCACTCTCCCCCGGGTCCTTGCTATATGTGCTATATGTGCTATATGGGTCTTACAAGGCAACCCGCTGAACCTCCACTCTCCCCCAGCTCCATGCTATATGTGCTATATGTGCTATATTATTCTGTACGCGCTTTAAAATATACTATATGTGCTACACAATGCATATTTGGTACATGTTGGAGATGCTATGTGTATAGTATACAGGCTTCTATACCATATAGCACATATAGCACATATAGCATGGAGCTGGGGGAGAGTGGAGGTTCAGCGGGTTGCCTTGTAAGACCCATATAGCACATATGCCATATAGCACATATAGCACATATAGCATGGAGCTGGGGGAGAGTGGAGGTTCAGCGGGTTGGGGGTCATATTGCAGCGCGTCGCCCAACTGTGCGTCTTTGGGCAAGGCGGCCTCACGAGCGTGCCCGGCAAGGGTGCAGTGTGCCAGAGCGGCAGGGGGCTTGCAACGATCTGTGCGCGTTCGGTCGGGCTTCTGCCTGGTCTGTGCCCTCAAAAGGCAGGCCCCGTGTCGCGAATTACTGGCCGTTGTACAAGGCCCTCAAACTCTCCGCCATGGAGATCGCCTTGTCGGACCCGAACTTTCGCCTCTCGCGCACAGAGTCCTTGACACACTGCGCCGTCACTTCCACGAGGATGCAGCGCTTCAGCACCGCGCGCGTGTCCGCGTCAAAGACCTTGTCAAGCGGGCGAGCGCGCCACTCAAACCCTTCGAGCATGAGGTCCGGAGGGCGAACCTTCGCCATGTCGTCCAAGTTGTGGTGGAGTTTCGCCAGGTCCTGCACCGTGATGATCCTGAACGTCTCCGCAGGCACCTTCACGTCGTTGTAGCGACATTTGATGGTCGCTGGCAAATCGGGCGACAGACCGAGGAGATGCTTCAGCGTTTCCACTCCCCCGCCTTGGGCGCCGATGTTGCTGCTGCTGATCTGAAGCTCGTCCAGGAGCAAAGGCCTCTCGTCACGCAGGAGGTTGCGCTCAACCGCGGATCGCAGCATGTCCGGGCTGGACACCATGACGAACTCGTCCAGACCCACGTCGCGGGCTACCATGGCTGCCAGGCAACTTGCCAGGGGAGTTTTCCCCTTGCCGCTGTCTCCGTAGAAGATCAAGGTCCTTCGCTCGTCGCGAGCTCGCGGCCTCGAAAAAGTCCAGTGGCTGCTTCTGGTGGACCTCGGGGTTGTACCACCAGCAGTTCACGGTGCTCTCGTTGATGACGAAGTCGGTCATCAGAAGTTGGCGATGGCGCGACACCAGCAGGCTCTCCACTTGCAACTGGTCGTCCTGCACCTGCTTGCGGAGCTGCAAGAGGGCCCTGCTCTGCAAGTGCACGAACTCGTCCTCGTTTTTCGGCAAGCGCTTGCCGGAGTTCAAGGCCCTGTCGCCTCGGAAGGTCGTGTCGAGCTTGATGGGGCAGCAGCTTCATCGTGGGCTTGTGGAAGAAGACCCACAAGTTTGCCCCTCTTTCGGGTCGAAGCATGACGTGGTGGCCGCAGGTGCAGGCGCCCCGGCCGCGCGCGCTGGGCAAGTCTGCTGCCGAGGGGCCGAACGACCGGCTGCAGGCCGACCTCATTGACTTCAGCCAGAACACCCGGGGGAAGACCAGGTACGGCCTGGTGGTGATGGACGGCTTCACCCGGGAGGCTGCAGTGGAACCTCTGCAGAACAAGAACGCCGAGACGGTGGGCCGGGCCACCAAGCGCGCCGCGAAGGAGCTGACGGGGGACGACAAGAACTTCAGACCTGGGCAACGAGTTTGCCACGCTGGACCGGGAGCTGCCCGCGGAAGCCGTGCACCGGACGAAGCGGCCCGAGGACCGCAACGCCATTGCCGTGGTGGACCGGGGCATCCAGACCCTGAAGAAGGCCACTCGAGTCGCCAGGAAGGGCGGCGGGTGGAGCCAGCACCTCGAGCAGGTGGCGGACGCGTACAACGCTCGGCCCCACGAGACGGTGCACGCTGCGCCGGAGGACGTCGAGAAGCAGCCGGCCACGGAGTTCCGTGTGCTCCAAGACAACGCCGACCGGTTCCAGCACAACAAGGACCTCACGGAACGCCGCATCAAGGCCATAGAGGACGCGGGCGCCTTCCGAGCGCCGACGAACGCGGCGAGGAGCTTCAACCCTCAGTACGGCGACGTGCAGCAGCTCGCGGCCGTGGACTCCATGACCGTCAGGGGCACCGAGGGCCGTGAGACTCTCCTGAAGCTGGCCCTGCCGGCTCCCCAGGGCAGCGGCAACGCTGCGGGCAGGCTGACTAGGCGTGGCAGACCGGCGGCCGTGAGGCAGCTGGACGACTTCCTGGGCCCGCCCCGGCCGAGGACAATCGACTGATAACCAGCTGGCAACTTTGCAGTACCCAAGTACGGCTGATAACGCTACTGGCAACTTTGCAGTACATTTGAGCCAAAGACCGCAGCTCCAGCTGGCAACTTTGCAGTACATTTGAGCCAAAGACCGCAGCTCCAGCTGGCAACTTTGCAGTACATTTGAGCCAAAGACCGCAGCTCCAGCTGGCAACTTTGTAGGACGGGGAGCTGGCAACTTTGTAGGACGGCAAGTGGCAGCTTTGGAATACTTTGAGACGCGCGTTTAGGTGGGAACCCCAAAAGAACAGCCGCAGTGCGGTTCGGGAGAAAAAGACGCGCAAACCCCTAGATTATTAACGGGGAGGGGGGGCACGTGCACGCGCACAATTTCTCTCACGCAAAAGTGCGTCGCATGAACTTGATTGCTGTGCCGGGGAGCCGGCTTTGTGTTTGTGAGGCAGATGATGGCCCGGCCTTGAGAGTCACAGAGATTGCTTGGTTTTTGATTCGACATGCAGTGAAAACAAGAGTTGACGGCTGCATCGCATGAGCTGGATGTTCCCGACAATTTGCATTGTGAGCAAATGACATGACTGCACGTTTTTCTCCTCTCAACAGTGCGGAACGCCTTTCAGGCACCCACACCGGTCGTCACGTGAGACACTGTTCCATCACGTGAACTACCTGTAGAAGGACAGCTCGGTCCCAAAAAGGTGCACATGCACAAAACTAGAGAGACTCACCGCTTTGAGCTGGCAAGGAAAGCCTTGGTCTCACGGTGCTTTGCCAGCAACTTCCCGCAGTACTTGTGTGCCTCGAACTCTGCCTTGAAGATATCCCTCGCGCCTACCCGGTTGATGCCCCGAGCACTGGCCGTGAAGGCCTCCAAAGCAGCCTGCCATCCAAGGCAGTCAGGGCCGCTCTTGGGCAGCGTTCCCGTGGTCTCCACAAAGTTAGCCACGGCCTTGCTCGCATAGAACGTCTCCGACGAATCGCCGGTCTCAAGGACCACACAATGCGGTCGCGGGTGGATCTGGGTGTCTGTGAGCCGGGGCAGAAAGACTTTGTAGACCTCCAGGGGGCAAAAAAAAAGCCGCAGCGCGCAAGCTAATCAATGCATGATCTCCCCAAAAAAAAGGGAGCGCCTGGAGCAGCAGGTAAAGCAGCCCCGGGGCGACGCTATCCACGACAGCCGTCGCCTTCCACCGCAAATCCACGACTCGGTCATTCGGACCAAGCGGCATGCCCGGGGCGACAAACCGCAATGGCCACCGCACCTTTCCCAACGCCGCCATCCTCGGCGGTCCAGGACACCCTACTGTTGGTGGCAAGCACCATGCCCCAAGTGACGTTGAAGTCAACGTTGTCCCCGTACAGTGTGCGAGCCGTCAAGGTCGTTGCGTGGTCGCGGAAGTCCTTGAAAATCGTGCTCTGAATGGGGTGCTTCTCCTCCAGCTCGTTGAACCACAGCAACCGCCTTCCCCTGAGGCCGAAGCGCACAGGCGCCGCCTCATCCGGCGGTTGCGGCGGCTTTGTGAGCACCTCAAGCACGTGTAAACCATCGATTTCAAGGGGCATTCGAACAAAACAACACAGAGCATTGTTTTATTGAGACATTGCACGCAGTGGAGACTGGGCAAAACAGGGCATCGTTTTTGACTCACACAAGACCCCGCCTCCTTGGGCGGTGTGTGGCCACAATCACCAAAGAGTTTGAGCAGCATGGACATCCAGGCGTTCTTGCCGTTCTTCCCAGCGCCGACCCAAAGCATCCCATCCTCCAAGCTTTTCGTGGAACACAGCTGGAAGGCGGCAAACTTCAGCAGGAAAAGGACCCTGGGCCATGACTCGTGCGAGCTGAAGAGGAACCGGAGGGCTGCAAACTCCGGGTGCTGGGAGAGGTTCCACAGGCGGTCTGCCAAGGTCTGGGGGAACATGTCCTCGCTGGTGTAGTCTTTCTCCGGCAGGCCGTCCTCAAAGCAGGCCACCTCCTCCAGGAGGGCGGCGACGTTCAAAACGTCCAGCTTGTGCATCAAGTCACCGGGGTAGGAGATCCCCAGTGAGCGGCTCATCCGCAAGTCCCTGCGGCCTCTGGTGGCCTGCATGGTTGGTACGTGCAGCACCCAGCCATCCAGAAACAACAAGAAGTCACGGTACTTATTGCCGTCCAGCTCTGCGAAGAAGTAGGGATCGTAGAGCCCCTTTTCCATCGCGGTATTCGCCACCTTGCGGAGCGAGGCGATCTGGAACGCCACCTTGGGGGGAGGCCGACCCAGTCCTCCGGCGTCGAGTCGATGTAGACCTGCTTCACCACATCAGCCAGCGTCGTCTCGGCGTGCGCCGATTTCGCCAAAGTCCAGCGGCCCTTGCCCTCGTCAAACATGGCGGTTTCGGTGTGCCTGGTAGATGTTGGGACGCACTTGTATGTGTCCAACACAAGCACACCGTTGTTCAGCACGTGCCCGGGCAGCAACTGGGCCGCGAGATAGTCCACGGACTCCACGCCGGCCGACAGGTAGGCACTGAGCTGGAACCGAACCTGCTCCTGCTCTACCCAGTCATTGTCCACCGTCTCCGGGTGGATGGTCTTGAAGTGGCGCAGCAGCTCCTCCATGCTTTGGTAAGCCTTGATACCGAGCGGGCTGTCCGGCACCGCGGCCTGTGCGGCGCAAAGCACGCGCTGTCTCCAGAGGTCCACCTCCTCTGGCAGGAGGTCTCTCAAGGGAGCAAACACAACTCCGTCATGTTCCCAACTAACGGGCCGGCCCAGCCCCTGGGCCTCCACTGCAGCGCAAAAGGCGCTGGAGATCCGACGCTCTTCGATCTGGTGGAGGAAGGCCTGCAGAGTTTTGCCAGGGTACTCGGTGGCCAGCATCCTCATCTGGTTCTCGTACTTCTTCTCATCGATGTCCCTCAAAGCCCGCAGCTCCGCAATGAGGTCCTGGACGCACTGAGGCAGCCGGACGCCGTGCTGATCCTCAAACTCCCGGCAGCACCCGCTGCCGCCCCCAAACAACAGGCCCGTGAAGAACTCCTTGGCGTCCTCCCGCTCCACTGGCAGCATGTCCAGGTAGGAGTCCCTATTGCGCACAAAGTGCCCAAGCCTGGCGGCGCTCGGGTGTCGCCCCAACAAGATCCGCCCGGCACTGCACTGCTGGTCGATGTCCACGAGGGGCATGCCACTGCGGCAAACCTCCTACAGGCTCGGAAAAAACGTTCACCCATCCAGGGACTCAAAAAACGCTCAAGCAAGCAAGCCCGGTCCTTCAAGGCACGCGAAAAGGAAAAGGCAGAATTTGAGGCAGCGAAGGAGCTCATGCCCAACTTCTGAAGATTGCCAAAGACGGGGGGCAGCTGCATGTAAATGCCCATCTGCGCGCTGATGGCATCCACATCGTCCTGCCCCTTCACAGGGTCGATCTTCTTGAGCCGCTTTGCCAGCTCCTCGTAGTGCTTGGCAACATAGCCACCGTAGGCTCTGCCAAGCGTCTCCACATCAAAGAGGTCAGCAACGGTGTGGCACTCCCGGTACGCCACTTTAACCACACCAGCGGCCTCTGTGTCCCGCACCAGAAGCGCCGCCAGAGCTCGCCTGAAGCCGAGCTGCGCAGCTGCACGCAGCGACCCAAAGTGCTCCACCGCCTCCCTGTTGAATGGCTCCGACAAAACGAAGCCCAGCCTGCCGGAGCCTCCCTGCCCAGTTGACCAAGTAGTTTTCACACCAAGCGATCGCATGGCCTGGAGGTAGCGGCTTCTCCCTGGCAGGCTCGGCGACGGCCTTGGTCTTCTTGGCAGGCTCCTCACGGACATTGACTTCGACCGCCTTCGGGAGGCAGAAAGAATCATCTTGGGACTTCCATGAAGAGACCAACACCTCCAGCCGAGAGATCCTCTCACTCCGCGGCAATTGCACGAGCTGCTGAGCGATCGCAGCCAGTTGCAACTCCTCAGAGGGCACTTGCCTACATGGAGGGTCCGGGCTCTGTCCAACTTTCACGGCATCAACAGCTTCCATGGGCCTTGGCTCCTTGACTGCGGCCGGCTCCTCAACTGCGGCCTCTGCGGCCGGCTCCTCAACTGCGGCCTCTGCGGCCGGCTCCTCAACTGCGGCCTCTGCGGCCGGCTCCTCAACTGCGGCCTCTGCGGCCGGCTCCTCAATTGCGGCCTCTGCGGCCGGCTCCTCAACTGTGGCCTCTGCGGCCGGCTCCTCAACTGCGGCCTCTGCGGCCGGCTCCTCAACTGTGGCCTCTGCGGCCGGCTCCTCAACTGCTGTGGCCTCTGAGTGGCCCCCACCTCTCTTGTGCTGATTCCAAGCCTCCTGCAACGAGGCCAGTTTCCAATTCATGCTGGCTGCCACGCCGGCCCCCTGAAGGGCAGCCACATAGTCTTTCTTGTGTTTGAGAACGACCTCCGAGCTTTCACTGTCTGACTCATGATCATGATCACTGCCACCGGTTCTCAAACCCGTCACACGATCAAAGTCCGACATGGCAGTTTGCGGTGTTGCGGTGAAGTCTCTGCACCAAACGGCTGCCCGCAAGGGCGATCAAGGCACAACAGCTCACATGGCCCCTCAAAGTCACAAACCTCAAAGAGACCGCACACAAAGGCACTCACTGAGGTGAAAGGGCTCGCCACTCGCCACTCGCGCCTCTGCAGCTCTGGCGCTTGCACCAAGAGCGCCTTGGGACAGGTGGTAGGGTACGCCTTCCAAAACTCTTCCTGTTCCCAGGTCCGCTAGGTCCGCTAAGTCGCCTAATTTTCCTGGGTCCCCTTGGAGTCTTCTGGGTCCCCTGAGTCCCCTCCCCTGTCCCCTGGAGTTTCTTGAGTTTGCTAGGTCCCCTAGGTCCCCTACATCCCTGGGTCCCCTGGAGTCCCCTGGGTCCCCTGGGTCCCCTCCCCTGTCCCCTTGGAGTTTCTTGAGTTTGCTAGGTCCCCTGGTCCCCTAGGTTTCCTGGGTCCCCTAGGTCCCCTAGGTCCCCTGGGTCCCCTAGGTCCCCTGGGTCCCCTGGCGCGTGTACTTGAAAAAAAAGCACCCCCCCGCCCGTTGGGCGAGCCAGTACTTGAAAAAAACGCACCGTTGGGCGAGTCAGTACTTGAAAAAAACGCACCCCCCACCCGTTGGGCAAGTCAGTACCTAAAAACTCGCCCCCTCTTGGCGTGGGGGATTAGGGCACAAGATAGCCAGGGGGCGCAGGGACCTAGAGGACCCAGGGGACCTAGGGGACCCAGGGGACCCAGGGGACCTAGGGGACCTAGAAAGCTGAGGGGACACCAGGGGACCCAGGGGACCTAGCAGACTCAACAGGAAACAGGGGAGGGGACCCAGGCGACTCAGGGGACTCCAGGGACCCAGGGGCCCAGGGGACCCAGGGACCCCAGGGACCTTGGGGATGTTGGGGACCCTGGGGACCTTAGGGACCTTAGAGATCTTAGGGACCCAGGGTCTTCAGAGTTCCTGATATGTTCAAATGATGTTGGCCTGGACCGTCTCCAGCATCATAAAGTAATTCAAAAAGAAAATGTCGAACTCAAAGCCACATCATTTCCCAATTACAAACACGGATGTAAAAACCAAAACATCATGTAGAAACATATAAATATAAAGATACATATAAACAGCATCCGCGATGTAGACAAGGAAAGATGCACTTTGGGGCCCTGGCGTCTCGATGGAAAAGATGTTGTTTCACGGCGCCTGCAGCAGACGGTTCAACACAACGACGCACAAGTGACCAGGGGACCTCAGGGACCCCAGGGATTCTAGGGACCTCAGGGAATGCAGGGACAGCAAGGACCCCAAGGACCCACAAAGGGTTGACACAAAAATTTTCAAATGAAAACGGGCCCGGCCGGCCCAAAATGCGTTTTCAAAATTTCCGATTCAATTTTGCAAGGGAAAACGCAACAAAACGAGACGAGAAAAAAAAACAGACAAAAAAAACGGGGTTGACACAAAATTTTGCAAATTGAAAACGGGCCCCGGCAAACCCAAAATGCGTTTTCAAAATTTTCTATGTAATTTTGTAAGGGAAAACGACACAAAACGAGACAAGGAAAAAAAAACAAGCAAAACAAAATTTTGTAACAAAAAACGGGGTTGACACAATTTTTTTCAAATGAAAACGGCCCCGGCCGGCCCAAAATGCGTTTTCAAAATTTCGTATTCAATTTTGCAAGGGAAAACGCAACAAAACGAGACGAGAAACAAAAAACGAAAAAAAAACAAAAACAAGCAAAACGAAAAATTGTAGCAAAAAACGGTTTGTGTCAACGTAGAGACCCCACAAAAACCACAGGGACTCCAGGGCCCCCCAGGGACCTCAGCTCAGGGACTGCAGGGAGCCCACGCAACCCACAAACCCCTCTGCTGCCTTGATGATGTCGGCTTCGATGCCAAGAGTGTCCCACCAGTTCCTCACGACAGCATCTCAGAACCATCCAATGCGGCGAAACCGACACAAAAAACCGAGCTCCGAAAATGGCCAGCGGCATCACCGGCATCAGACTCGTAGGATCATCACGGCATCCCCGCATCATGCAAACCTGGCGAACCGGAAAACAATGAAAACGTAGGGGGAGTAGTGTCCGGGAGCGCCAACAAGGATCACCCAAAACCCCGAAGATCGCCTCAGGGCGCCCTCAAAACCAAGATACTCAGAAAATTGGGATGACGCAATTCACTTTACGGGGGGTTTCCCCGGCAGGAGGGTGTCCAACAAGAGAGCGACCCCAGGGACCCCAACGACCCCAGGGACCTCAGGGACTGCAGGGAGCCCACGCGACCCACAAACCCCTTGATGATGTCGGCTTCGATGCCAAGAGTGTCCCACCAGTTCCTCACGACCTCAGAACCATCCAATGCGGCGAAACCAACACAAAAAAACCGAGCTCCGAAAATGGCCATCACCGGCATCAGACTCGTAGGATCATCACGGCATCCCCGCATCATCCAAACCTGGCGAACCGGAAAACAAGGAAAACGTAGGGGGAGTAGTGTCCGGGAGCTCAGGGCGCCCTCAAAACCAAGATACTCAGAAAATTGGGGTGCCGCAATTCACTTTACGGGGGGAGCTACAGTTCCGGTGAAAACGCAGTGGGGGCCCCGGCCGGCCAGGTCTGCCGGATGCGGTCCAGCACACCTCGGACCCAAGCACGAGCGCATGCGCAGTGGCACCAATCAAGTCGAAACAAAGCAAGTGCACCATCGACATCCAACGCACCGCAAAGGCCCAGGCAGCATGTAGGTCAAACGAATCCTGGCACGGGCGGGGGTGTCATGGCTCGCAGTTAAAAAAGGTGACGAAAGGCAACTCCAAGGGCCGAGCAAATTCCAGAGTCTTGGCCACCCTGAATGCGGGCAAAGGGCAAGGACACGTGGGCATGTGGGCCGAAAAACCGCGCCTTACACCCCCGCGAGCGGCTCGCTCCCATCTCCCGGACCCCGAGTAAGGCCCTCAAAAGGCGGCAGCAAGCCGGGTCTCACCACAGAGTCCTCAAGTGCTCACAAGTCGACTGACAACATGAAAATCATGCAAAAACACCACGCCGTGCCATGCCAAACGAATTTCCGGAAAAAAACAAACATAAACAGGTTTTTTCCGGAAATGGCGGCCCTCGAGCCGCTTGAAGCGAGGGCCGACCAAACGCTTTTGGTCGGACCACTATTTTTCTCGCCCTATAAGAAAAGGACCGGCGAGCAAAGTCAAGATGACTACCATCGCCACTAGCGTCGCCCTGGGCGAGGTCCAGACCAGCCCCAAGGGAGCCAAGTCGGCGCCCTTGAGGTGCGAGGAGGGGAAGCCCATCGTCTGGCAGTCCGCGTGGACGCGCGTCCTCTGGGAGCCCAGCAGCTTCGGCGAGGACCAAGGAACCAGGCAGAACGCTTGCCTTGCGATGGAAAGGGATTCCGAGGCCTGGGCGGCCTGGGAGGAATTCGAGAAGAGGTGCGTTAACGAGCTGTCTTCGCAGTCGAGCCGCATTTGGGGCGACTACGGTGATGTGAAGGACAGGTGGCAGAGCTGCCTCAAGGAGTCCCGACGGGGAGCGACCTTCCTGAAGTGCAAACTGGACGCGCGGAACGTCCGCTTCTGGGACACCGACGGCAGCAAGATCCAGAGGCCCGAGACTCTTGCCGGCTGCGAGTGTCAGGCCAACATCGAGGCCCGGCAGGTCTGGATCATGGGGAAGCAGTGCGGGTTGGTGCTGGAGGTGAGAGACCTGCTGGTGAAGCCGGGCACAGGCGGGGACTCCTGTCCCTTCTAAACCGGCGTTCTTTTAATCGCGGATTACCAACGTAAAAGAACAGGTTCGCGAAGACTTGTTTGGGGCCGCTCCATCTGGTCGTGATTTTTGCTCTGACACCGGGTGACAGCAAGGCCCCGGGGCACCAGGGAACCCAGGCACTTAGGGCACCCAGGGCACCCAGGGCACCCAGGTAGCCAGGGCACCCAGGGCACTCGGGGCACAGGGGAGGAGACAGGGGGCACGCAGGGTCCATCACGCCAGACAAAAAACGGTTGCCAAGTTGCCGCTCAAACCACTGTTCTCCAGGCATCAAATCCTCATGCAGTGTCCCTCCCATCCAAACAACCACATGCCACAAAATCGTGAAAAATAAAAATGTCAAGGTCAAGTCACGCAACTCCGCCACTTGCTCAAATAGCAAAGCACCACGCAAACCCCGTCACAACCTGACACTGTGCCCGTTGCCCTCGTAGTGCTTCGCCAGGATGTTCCACCTCACATCAGCTCGGCAAGGGCGTCACCTTCCTCAAGACAGGGGGTCAGGGTGCAATCAAAAGCAAATTCCATGCCAAAAACATGCAAAACCATGCACACCAAGCAAATGTCATGCAAAAATCCACATCAAGATCCATTTGATGCCGCGCGCTTTGAGGCACCCGGGGGCGGAGCGGCCACCTTGATCGGACGACTTTTTTTTTAACCAGCCTAAGAAAAGCAATCAAACCCAACAATGGCATCCTGGGCGAGGCAGCGGGAGCACATCAGGGAGGCGGTCGAGGCCGGATCGAGGGCCCGGGACACGGATGACGGAAGCCGTGTCTTGGGCTTGAGGCGGGGCCGAGGCGCCTACGCGTTGCTCCAGCGCGCGGACGGGAGCGTCACCAGGGCCGGGGAGGCCTACTTCGGCATGCTCGGGCGGCAGCCAGAGTCGAGGACCTTCGGCTGCGGGAGGACGGCGCCTACCAGCTGACGAACCTAGGGAGGCGGTTCTTCAAGAACAAGTACTCGCAGCACGTAGCACACATCCCAGTGCTCATCAGGGGGATGCGGCGGGCCGGCAAAAACGCGGGCCGGGCTTACGAGCGCAGGGACTGGCTCCCCGCAAATGTCCTGGGTGGGGAGGCCAGCCGGCAGCCCGACAGGCTGTCGGAGCAGCAAATACTGCAAAACGTCAAGCAGGAGACGCTGCGGCTGCCGCGGGGGACGAGGACCGCGCCGCCGGCAGGGCGCCCATCATGGAACTCAGCGACGAGACGTACTTCTACGACCCGGAGGGGGAGTGGGTGGTGTCCTCGGAGACGACGCAATACCGGAACAGCCGCGTACACGTAGAAACCATCCTGCGGCAGAGGCTGCGAGGCCTGCGCCGCGTGTCGTACCAACTGCCGTGCTTCAACAGTATCCTGGAATGCGCATTCGAGGATTCCGGGGACAAT